ACAAAACCAAAGAGACCAAGAAAAGCTTATCCCAAAATGTACACATAAACAATAAAAAGAGACAGTGGCAGAATTTGGCATCTCAGAGCTTAAAACAGCCAATCGAGTTATAATAACTCTCAAGAGAAACGAAACTACAGATAAAAACTCTGGATCCTGGCTCTGGGTTTGCTACCTTATTCCAGCAAGGTAATGATCTATTTCCTTATTTCTTTCCCTTTCTAATGAAGCTTCTCCCTCTAAACTTTTATCTCTGTTTATTTATATACGTTTAGAAAACCTAGATAAAATCTACCCCCACTGGACACAGCACTACAAATGACCCTCATGTATCATTCTTTGTAGCAGACTAGTGCTCGCCTGTGTGTAAACAGGGCATTTTATTCATTCATTTCTCTTTTGATGGACGAAGGGTTGCTTTCAAGATGTGGCTATTACAGCTGGGGATTTAGCTCAGCAGCACAGAGCCTACCAGCAAGTGCAAGGTTGTGAGTTTGATCTCCAGTACAAATAAAAAAAGAAAACAGAGGTAGCTATTACAAGTTGTGCTGCTATAAAGATAGGAGTGCATGGATCACTGTGATACCCCAACTCACTAGGGAAGATACGTAGGAAGGGAACAGCTTTCTGAGGACTCTGTCTCCTACTGATCTCCATCATGGTTGTATAATTCTTGTTACAAATGACAGCATAAGTTTCCTCTCCCCCACCCCCTCCAAAGCCTCTTCAGCTTTTGTTATTATTTGACTTCTTGGCGCAGCCAGCCTTTCGGGAGTGAAATGGAATCTCAGCATTGTTTTAATTTGCATCTCTTTAATGGCCAGAGACGCTGAACATTTTTTCCTGTATCATTGGCTGTTTGTACTTCCTCTTTGAGGTGTCTGTACATTTCAGTTTCCCATTTTTATAGTAGGTCTTTTATTGGGGGGGTTGATTTTTTTCAGTTCTTTATATATTCTAAACATTAGTTTTCCGTTCTAGGTGTAACCAGCAAAGAAGTTTTCCCAGTTACACCTCAGACAGAGGGCCTTGCTATTACTCATCTTTAATGGAGACATCTTTAACCCAAACAGCAAGCTTTTTTAAAACACTGTCCTTAGACTCCATCAGGATTTGCAGACTTTTGTGTTCAGCCGGGCCCCAGACAGATGCTCTTAGTAAAGCAGTCTGCTTGCTTCTTTCTGCTGGGAGAATCTAACTGGTAATTAACAAGGATCACGTGATCCAGCCAAACCCAGTCTGCGGTCCTTTAGAAAGATGCGCCAAACATATATTCTGTTTACAGATGATTTTGTGAAATGCTTTTCACAGGAGGGATAGTAACAAGAACCACACACAAATCCACACAGCGCAGTGGGAGTGGGCAGCTTTGCGAGAATATTCTAACCTGCACTGCAAGGAACAATGAAGATATTTGTGCCGAAAAGCCAGCCAACACCACCATACAGAATTTGCTTTCAAGAAATTTCCCTATGCCCATACAAACCTTTAAAATAATGTTTAAACAAATCCAAAATAACTGCTTGAGTATGCCTTTTCCTATTCTTTTGGAAAATTATTTAATGAGCTAGCATAAGATTTATGTTTTTGTACATAATTATGATTTGGAAAAGTGCCTAACTGCCTGCTTCATTTATGTGACAGTTGTAACAAGATGACTTATTAAATTCCAACTAATCTCTGCAAGAAAGGAAAGAAAACCACTTTTCATTTTTGATTTAGCTATTTTTCTCTTGTTACTGTGACAAAATACCCTACATCCAAAATTAGAAGGGGAAAGGTTTATGTAATTCAGTCAGTAGAGATTTTAGTTCGCAGTCAGCTGGCTCCAAGACAGGGTGGCAGAGGGGTTCCCAGCAGGCAAAAGGCAGCAAAAAAAGCAAGGGTCTTTCTGTACCTTATCTTACTAAGGGCACATGGAGTAGGCAGCACTCACACCTTAATCCCAGTGCCTTGATCCCAGCACTGCACCATGAATCAATCCCAGCCTCACACACTCTAGACACAAGCCACAACAATCTTGTTTTGCTTGGTTTTCTATCAGACTTCAGGAAAACTCCACGTTTATTATAACAAATTTCAATGGAGTTGCTCTACAAATATAATTTGCAAGCATCCTGTGAGGAGCGAAGCTGCTCTGTTTCATTCCATACGTTCCCTGAGTCCCTGTGCTATTTGTCACACCCATGCGGCCAGCTTTCCACCGGACCATGGCAAAGGCGGGGGAAGGCAGGCTGAATTGGGAAAAACAGTCTCAGTAGCAATGGGAGGTCTCCCCTGTGCTCCAGATATGGATTTCAGGTCCAGAAATGGCAAGGAGCCAGGAGAGGGGACATGCAGTTCCTGCTACTCGGCAGGGCCAACATGGGAGGATCTTTAAACCTAGGAGTTCAAGACTAGCCTGGGCCATACAGCAAGAAGCCCAATAAAAAGAAGGAAGGGAGGGAGGAAAGAAATGAAATGAAATAAAGCAAAGCAATGCTCAAACTAATTTCAACTGGGGCAAGACCCAGATACTGAAGAGGTCAATACAGATCAAGGAAAATTCCACCCTGTGAGAGCAGTTTGGGATCTGTCCAGAGTCCGTCAGTCTCCGCAGTCCCCGAGTTTGAAGTGCCACACCTTCTGCTCTTTCTGTCCGCCATGGATGGTCTACGCGCTTGTCTGTTCCCCACAATGCCAGGTCTGCCAGGTCTGGCCTCATGCATTACAATCACTCGTTCGCTTTATTGAAAAATACACCATTTCCTGAAGACACCTGGGTACCTCGACAGAAAGTGACTAATTACCAGAGCTGGGTGAAACCGAGCACCCAGGATCATCAGACATGGTTTTGTGTGCAGACAAAGCCCAGCTGGTGCCCTCTCAGAAGGTGAATTGAGACTAATTGGGTAATCTAGAAGCCAATTAGACAAAGTCGGCAAAGGAAGTTCTGTGTAGCTAAAAGAGACATTCTCTCCAACAGGGGAAGAAAAAGCTCTGTGTGTGTAAGTTGCAGCATAAGGAGCTGGAATCACTGTAGAAACACTGAGATTTACTTCCCTTGCAATGGCATTAGGTGTTAGAATGAAGATACAGAACCTAGAAGCAGACGGAGACCAGACGTTTCAGGAACCAGTCATGTGTGCGGGCCAGGCTTCTCACAGTGGGTGCCGCAGAATGATTTTTTGTTATGTCAGGTGCAATTCCACATTCCCCTGAAAGCCACGATGACTCTGCTGTTACAGACCCATGCAGGGGCAAATGTCTCTTGCAGGTTTACCACACGGGAAGTGAAAAGCTGTGGTTACGTTTTCTGCGGGTGTTGTTGCATTAACACACAGCTGCTGCTAACTGCCTCAATGTATATGATGGCTGATCAAATTAGGGATACCAGCTGGCACCTGTAGGAGATGAAATTAATAGGCCCTCGGGATGGAGGGGGTGAAGTGCATTTTTAGAGTCATGTAGCCAACAGGCCTCCACAGCTCTGGGACAAGATGAGGTGAGGTTTGTATTTTGTAGCATCTGATATTCAATGCAGTCAGTAGCAAAGAGACTACTGGTCAACCAGAGGGTTGCGGTGTTTCTGTGGCATTGCCAGGTGTGCCCCAGTGCCTGTACTGGTTGGTGCTCAGTACGCAGGCAAACATTATGCTTGACCGGTAGTAAATAAAAAGAGTCACATCACAAGGCTCTTGCTACAGTTATTCCCAGTCTCCGGGGACATAAATGGGGGCATCTTGGCAGGTCACCTGTTGGAAGGGAGCTGGTAGGAACAGCATGAGGAAGGAAAAGAACTCTGCCTTCAGCTTCCCTGGACCCCTGAATAAGACCCCTGCCCGCTGGGGGAAGCTCAGGATTTGAGAATTCCTGGCCCAGCACACAGAGGAGGAGCCTTATTTATATACCTTCCTCCTTGTCAGATTGAATCTGTCAGCTCTTCCAGAGAAAACCTGAAAGCTGAGCTGGAGCTGCCCTGGAGGGATTTTCGAAGCACAGTACTCACTGCCTTCTCCCTTCTGTGACATCTGGGTTGCAGCTGCCATTTGCCTTTCCTGCCTAGCAGTCTCTTGGCACTGGTGGGGGACCAGCTGCTCGAATGCTTATCACCCCCGCCAGTCACCCCCCATTCTAAGGGGTCACAAAGGAATCTCCTGGCACCGCCTTCTGGTGCCAGGGAATTCTGGCTTTTTCAAGCAGCAGAAACTTGGGCTGAGGAGATAAACAGGCAGCAGTGACCCACTTACTGACTGATTAGGGACTTACTCCCACTGTCCTGACCCTGAAGATTCCCCAGGCACTAGGACCAGGCGCTGTATAGTTTCTAGGGGACAGCCAGAGGCCATCCTGAGCCAAATCCAGGGCCCTCATCAAACTTCAGGCTCAGGGTCCTCCTGCAGTGTCCTCCACCAGCTTCACTGGAACTGTCCTTGGAGCCTCACCCTTGGTGACCACGCCCCTCCTCAAGGGAGGGTGCTGGCCTTGGAGATCCCTGGTGTTTCCCAACAACTGTCCCAGGCTGCCACTTTTTTTTTTTTTTTTCATTTGAATGAATCTCTGTCTACTTCCAGAAGTGGTTCTCAAATATGTAGGGAGGGGGCTGTTTTAAAATGGTAAAATATACCCGACAAAAAATCACTTTAACCATTTTTAAGTGTAATTCAGTGACATTCACATCCGTGTGCAAACTGTCACTGCTACTATCTTTACAATTTTTCATTATCCTGTAACCTAAGGTAATAGTTCTGCACCTTGGTGCGTGCAAAGGCAAAGAGCACAACCAGGAGACAAAAAAGTAGAAAAAGATTTGTTTCCTGCAGCAAGGAAGGAGCACACTGAAGTTATTCACAAAACAGGGCTTCTCCTTGAAAAAGTACAGGGATTTTATTCAAGGAGTTAACTACATAGTCATATGGGAAAGTGTATGTAAGGATAGGGACACTTCTGAGCATGCTCCATTTAAGGTGCACCCTTCTGAGCATGCTCAGTTCCAGGTCCTAGATCCCATGGAAACAAAGAAAGATGGCTGTCATGAACACATCCGGGCATGCTCGATTTGGTATTACACTGGGCAAAGGTTACTTTAAGGTCCCCTAAAAGAGTCAGAGTGGCTCTGGTGACCTTGGATGATCCCTCCTGAGTTTCTGGATAAAGCCAAATAAAAAGAAAGAACAACTTTGAAGGGGCGTTAAGAGCCATTTAAAAGGACAGCAGCTTTCTCACTTTCAAGGAGAGAAGTTGGCCCCTCAGAACACCTGCTTTGCTTAGCAGCCATCTGTCACAAGACGCAGCGCTGCACTCCTGAGCCTGAGCTCCCATCTCCCTCTGCCCCCAGATCCTGATAACCACCATCTGTTCTCAGGCTCTGAGGGTTCACCTATCCTAGGCTTCAGGTAAGCAGCACTACACTTTGGGTCTCACTTTTGTTACTCTGCAATGTGTCCAAAATGTATCCGTGTTGTGACAAGGCATGATTTCATTACTTTTTAAGGTTCAGTACTGTCCTGTGGTGTATCCGTGCCACGTTCTGCTGATGGGTCCGGCTGTCACTGGACATGGTCCTCAAGTTGCTCTGCATTGTGAAAAATGCTGAATCGTGAGACCATGAACATCGTTGGACAGATCGGATTCGGTCCTTGAGCTACGTTTCTTTGTGCACCTGCCCAGGAGCAGAATTTGCCGGTCATTCATTAATTCCATGTTTAATTTTCAGAGAATGGCCAAGCTGCCTCCCATAGCAGCCACACCACTTTGTATTCCCACCAGCAATGAACAAGGGCCCCAGTTTCTCCACAGCCTCACCAACACGGGTTAGTTCCTAGTTTTAAAAAAATGGCCATACCAATGGGCTTGGTTTTGATTTGCCTTTCCTTAATGTTCAGCGATGCTAAGAATCTTCTGCTCTGCTTCATGGGCACTTGTGTAGTGCCTATAGAGACCTGCTCATCTGTCCATTTTCATCCTGGCTGTGTCTTACTGCTGAGTCCTCTGTGTTTTTAGTCCAGATGGAGATGTCCTCACCAGGAGACACCACTGTCCAGCTGCCTGACAGCCCCTAACAATGCCACACGCCACCAAAATGTGTGCGACCCTAATGCCACCACCACACGGTTCCCTCGAAGGAAGCAAGGGTGGGAAAGAGGACCCAGCCCAGCAGCACGGGGCAGGAAGGTTAACAGGAACAGCACTGCGGGGCAGAGGCGGCCAGGGCCAAGCTGCAGGTCTGGGCCTCACAAAGGAGCAGCCATGGCCTAGGTGGGCACCACTGGACTCCTGGGTGCTCCAACTTAGTTACTTTTTACTCATTGCTGGGACAAAATACCCAACACCCAAAATGAAGGAAGGAAAGGTTTATTTCTTACAGTTCTTGAGTTTCAGTCCATACTCATTTGGCTCCAAGGCAGGCATGGGAAGCCTGGCCACAGTTCATGGCAGCTGCAAACAGCAAGGCAGAAACCAGCAAGAGAGAGAGAGAGAAACACACCTTCCTCCCGCTATTCCATCGTATCCTGGCTCCACCCCTAGGCATGTGTAACACTCACTCCACCAATCCAAGCGCTAGACCATGAACCAATCACAAACGCATAATTGCAAGAGGCTTGGGGGCCACTGACATAAACCAAGACGCCTCCACCAAGACAGTGTTCTCCTCTTCCCACCCCCTTGCAACAAGACCTCCTGGGAAAGAGGAAGAGGTAGTGCCTGGCATCAGTATTTTTAAAAAGGGCCCAAAATCAGACAGTGTGATGCAATTTTTTTTTTGTTTTGGATTTTCAAGACAGGGTCCCTCTGGGTAGTCCAGGGTGGCCTCCACTCACTACCTAGCCCAGACTGACCTCTGACCAGCCGACCAGCCGGGACCTCTTGCCTCAGCCTCGGGAGTGCGAGCACCACCGCAGCTGGCCACACACTGCAGGCCTGCCTCAACCTGAAGGCGACCCCTTGGGTTTTGTTTGCGGCTTCCCGCTCTGGTGCAAAAGTGGGCGGGGCACCGCCTGCCTGAGACCCTGGCCCGCAGCGCAGGGGGCGGGAGCTCTGGCTGCGGTCTTCGGGTTCTTGTCCCGCGCCGCGCCTCCGCGTGCCCCGCTCTAAAATAAACACTGCGGGTGGCGGGACCGGTGCAGCCCCGATCCGACCGCTCGCCCTGCGCTGGGCCATGGCCGAGGCGCCCGCGGACCCCCGGGGCCTGCATGGCCGCATCCTGCGGTGGTGAGCGGCCAGGACTGGGACCGGGAGGGAACTAGGTGGAGGAGCGTCGCCCCCTAGCTGCTGCCTGAGGCTCCAAAGCCTAGGGTAGGGGCTGCGGCCCCAGAGGAGGTTCCCAAAGGGCGGGGCCTTGGTACTCACCCTCATGCCCAGCCCATTCATTTTATTTCATTGTGTGCGATCCTCCTGCCTCAGCCTCCCAAAGCGTCTTTTAAAGCTGGCATCAAAGCCCAGATGTAGCGACGGTGTAGACTACACACACACACACACACACACACACACACACACACCTCTATGAACCTCTGGGTCGGGAACTGCACTATGGATACCAGGGTTTTGGTCCTAGGCACCCCATCTCACAGAGTTGGGGGGTCGTTGCTTGGCCAGGGGAGCCCAGAGTTCGCGGGCCCCACGATGTTTTGGCTTAGCGTGAGATCCGAAATGGGGTCACACACGACGCACAGCAACTTTTGTCTGTAACAATGCGTTGTGCTTTGTGAGGGTCACTCCCCGCTGTTTAAGCAGAGGCAGGGAAAACAATCTGGGGTGGAGGGACCTCTAGCTCCCGGGCGGGAGGAACGCCCTGTGCGCAGCACTGTGGAGAGGCGGAGGGACAGGCGGCCAGGGCGCGGACCTCAGGGGACACGACACGGTCGCGGTCAGGCGGCCTGCGAGAAGCGCAGGCCTCCAGGATTCCCGGCGCATTTCTCAGGAGGACGCGCTGAAAAGATGGCGAGTGTGGAACAGAGAAACCAAGGGTGCGACTGTGACTTAAAACCCCAAAGGAGCTGCGGGGTCACCGTGCTCCCCCAAAGAAAACCTGTGGGCGTGTCCTAGTGCAGACCTGAGGAAGCAAATGAATAAATGAGTAAAACTCCAACCAGAAACGGTGCTGCACCGGTTTTTAGGAAGGTGCAGCGCGGCCTCCCAGCTCTCAGCCGAGTCCTCACCAGAAAGGACCTGGCGGCCACCCTTCCTTGGGTGCCCACGGCAGCGCCACCAGGCCTCCGTTTAGTAAGTTAGGCTCTCGGGGTCCTGACGTCACTCCAGAGATTGGGAAGAACGGCGAGAGGATGAAATGCAGCTGAAAATCCTCCTTTGGACAAGATGGTGCCCTCGATCCTCAGAGGTAAACTGAAGCCATTAGGAGGGTGAGGACCACTCCAGCGGCCAGGCCAGATGCAAGACCTGTGTCCTCGCGCACAGCCCTTCCAGCTTCCGGGCCCCAGGCACACTTCTTAGGGTCCTCGGAAGGCAGTGAAAGTGGCAGGGGCTTTGGCTCACGAGCAGAGGGGCAGCACAGGTGGGCAGGACACTGGCATGGAACCCAGCCTGGGGCTTGCGATTTCCAGGGACCTTGGTGTCTAGGGTTTCCAGGGAGACCAGGCCACGTATAGCAGGGACCACATTGATGGTGTACAGAGCCCCCAGGGCCTGTGGAGACTTCCAGAGCCGGGCTCCTGGGGGAGGACCAGATGAACTTTGAGTATAGCCTCGCTGTCCTGTCATCTGTTTGAGACCCTGGGCCACCATCACCATTGTCACCTCACAGGGTCACTTCTCCCCAATCAGTCTGCAGTGGAGACAGCCATCCCACCAGGAAGGGCGGGTGTGGGAGGGTGAGGGCAGATCTCAGGCAGCACAGAGAAGGGGGAAAGTGGGTGCAGACCCCACATGTGTGATGTGGCCTGGCTTGTGGCCCAAGGCAGACCCCAAAGACCTCCCTCTGCCCAATTTCTGGGCGCACTGAGCACTGGGCACACTGAGCCCTGGCTGGAGACAGCAGAGCCTTGTCCCAATTGTCCATGTGACCTTCCCGCAACCGGCTGAAATACAACAGAAGTGTATTTCAAGAGCACAGAACCAGACCAGAGCAAAAGGAGCTCCAGTTCCCACGTCCATCCTCATGGGAAGAGCCAGGCTCGGGAGAAGGGAGACCACTGACCTGCGGGACTGCATCGAGGCCTTCTCAGAGGGAGGGGCTGCTCTGCTGCCCTTGTCTCCTTGGAGACTGGAGAAACAATGAGATTGGGCAGCTAGGAGAGGACTTTAGTGACCTGGCCCACCTGTCACCCTGGCTGGTGGTGGTGCCCTGCGGTAGTTCTGCCTGCACCCTCCTAACTCGGCCTCTCTGGAGGTCAGGGTCTCCCCCAGCAGGTGCTCTGTACTGCCCTGTTCCCCCTACTTCTGACTTCTGACCCCACTCTGCATTTGATGGGAGGCATAAAAATGCTAACAGTAACTGCTGCTGGTGCCTGCCAGTGTGGCCTGCATGCCATATGTTTGCTTCCTCCTCGCTGAGGTCACTCAAGAGTTTAAACGGAGTCTCAGCAGCATTGCAGAGGGCTGGCTTGGGGTCCTCGCTGCAGTTTCTGCCATGTGTGGGCACTAGTGCTGGACTGAGGTCCGGCCTTGACATCCTCTGCGTGTCTTGGCAAGGGTCCTCCTGCTGCCCACGTCCAGGCTTGGGGGACCTTCAAGGATGTGGCCCAAGATGGTGGTGACTTTCAGAGTAGCCAGGACCAAAGAAGCAACATGGGTCTCAAACTCAGGGAGCCCTTTCTTTCTGTGGGTTTCGAGGAAGGTGCTGGCCGGGTGACAGCCCTTTGCGGATCCTCATGGATGTTATTTCGCTGTACTGAAGACCAAGCCAAGAGCTTCCCGCGTGCTGAGAGGACTTGGTCCCCATTGTTAATCTCAGCACTGGCTGAGGCTCCCTTGAGTCAAAATGACTGGACCAGAAGAGTTTTGATTTTGATTTTTTTTCCAGATTTTGGAATCTTTGCACACATTTAGCAAGATGTCTTGGGACGAATCCCAAGTCTAAACGCAAATCCATCTGTGCCTTATACACCCCCACACGTGTGTCCTAGAGCACTGGTTTTTCCTACACATTGGTGTAGTTTCCTACACAAGATAAGGTTTTATAGTGGGAATTTCTCTCTGGTGGCTACATGTCAGCGCTTTAAGAGGTTTGGGTTTGGAGGAGTTGGGGATTTGGGATTCTGGGTTTTGGGTGTCTCAGTTGTATGACCATTTGTCACCCCCACACGCCATGAGCCACGGTCACATCATTTTGAAACAGGAGGACAATCCCCAGAGGCCTCCAGTGATGAGGAAGAGCCATGAGCAGACGTGGAGGTGGGAATTCATCTCAGGAGTCGGTGTTTTGTACTATGCTTTTGGGATCTGTCCCCTACTAATCTGCTGTAGCTCTGAATAAACAGAAGCCAGTTTGAATCTGCCACGTGGCCCTTCTTGCCATAGTGCGCCAGCATTTTCCCACAATTCAGGGTTTTTCATATATCAACAGGTGTTGTCTTAGGACCAGACTCCATGGTATGGCCTGGAGTCCCGACTACTCAGGAAGCTGAGGCAGCAAGACTGCTTGAGCCCAGAAGTTTGAGGCCCAGGGGGCTGGGATTTAGCTCAGCAGCATAAGCACCTGCCTTGCAAGCAGGCAGTTGTGAGTTCGATCCCCGGTACTGATAAAAAGGGGGAAAAAAAAAAAAGAAGTTTGAGGCCTGCCTGGGTAACACAGTAAGACCCTGTCCCTTAAGAAAAAAGAGAAAGAAGAGCAAATATTAACATCAGCTCCATGGGTGGGCTTGTCACCGCCCCACCCACTGCTCATCATCACTCTGTGGTCAGCCTCCAGGCCAAAAAAGGCCCTGAGTCTAAATCTCTATGCAGCACCTGAAAGATTGGGTCCCACGGTGGGGACACCACACCCTCTCAGAAAAGCCACCTTAGGATCTGTTCTGGACTGAATGCCATCACCCCCAAATTCATATCCACCTGGAACCTCAAAGCACAGATGTAACCAGTCAAGGTCACACCCGATGAGAGTGAGCCCTAAACCCAGCCATGGGTACCTGCAGAAGCAAATCCACAGAGAGAGGAGCACTTGGGGAGATGCGCACAGGAGGATGCAGGGAGACTGGTGTGAGACTCCTGCAGGCCCAGGACTCAGCTGTCACTTGTGGCTCCAGATCCAGAACCACACAAGTGTGACAGTGGCCTTTAGTTCTTTGGGAACAGAAGTGAGCTGTGTATGACCAGTTCTGTAAATTTCCTGCTTTAAAGACTCCTCTGTGTTTAAAGAATGTGCAGACCGTCTTTGCCTATCGTCACCTGCTGGAGTTCATCGGGAATGCACTCCAGACCCTCATGGGTCCATCTCCAGGGATGGCCACTTTCCTTATGTAAAATGACGTGTGGTATTGTAAACCCAAATATTGAGTTCAGTCATCCAAGTATTGTAACCCTCTTTCTAGTTTTCCTCACAATCTAAAAGGTTATATCTGTGATCCCATCAAGACGTTATTGGAATCCCAGCAAGTTAATTCCAATCTACCACCACCAACGCAACCCATGGCAAGAGTAAAGACACCAAGACATAGTAGGGCAGTCAAGGGGTCCTAAGTCCAATCCCTGTGAGGACACGTGGACCAAGGCCTTGATCCTAGGTCTCTCCCAAAATTTAGTATCTTGTGAAGCAGGGGGGTGGCTCAGGGATCAGTGACAGTGAGGATGGCAGGAATTAGGTGAGTAACAGCTGCAAGATTGGCATCTCTGTAAATTGCAGAGATAAAGATATGCAGAAGGTCAAGTTACATAACCCAATTAAGGTAGCAGTGGAATTGTTTTGGGGGGTTGTCGCTTTGGTTTCTGATATGCAAACTCTTATGCCCTGGGGAGTCATAGCCTCTTATTTTGAGGCCATACCCAGTTGACATTCCTGGAGCTGTTTGCTCTAACATCTCCATGCTTATATCATGTACATGTCTGTATTGTACAGAGAACACTATTCGAAGAAACAGGACTGTCTGTTGGCTAGAGAGATTATATACTAGCACCTTGGCTAGCCTTATTTGCAATGCTTAGAGCCAATTGAAAAGAGAAGGAAATGCCAGCCTTTTACATGTCAGTATAAGGAAATGAGTCTCCAAATAATCAAAGACACGGTAATTATTTTGGATTCAATTGTCTTCCACAGTGTGGTTTGCATAAAATCAAGGTCCATCCTGCAGCCTTCTCACTGTTTCCGGTGACAGATGCCTCACCCAGGGTAGGAGCTGTGTGAACAGTCACTGCTCTCCATTGCTTAGGGAATCAGTCACTGAAAGTCCATAATCAATATTTTTTCACACTAGCCCAAGGACAAAAGGCTCATCCTTGATACTGATGGTGAGCTTTCTAGGGGTCCATCTACTCAGTAGCGTAGATGGATTTTACTTGGTGGGTCTCACACCTGTCTGATCATTAGTTTAACAAAATGTTCTGCTCCCAAAAAAGATGCCAGTGTCCTCTTCTTTCTCCTCTCCCCCAGGCTGGTGGACAATTTCTGCATTTGTGAAGGGCACAGCTTGCCTCGCTGTCTCATGTATGAGATTTACATGGATACCTGCGGACGGAATGCTCAGAACCAAGTCAACCCAGCGACATTTGGGAAGGTAAACTGTGCAGCCGTGAGGGCACTGTTTGTTATAGTCCTGTGTCACCCAGGGGTGGAGATGCGCTCAGAGAGCTGCACTGAAGCTGCTTCCTTGGTGTTCAAGCATCACGGAGTGTTCCTCCTCAGAGCAAAATAGCTGCAGGGTCACTGGGAGCAATAAACACCTGGCCCACCATTCTGTCATCAACTAAAATGTCATCACATGGTGCATGACTGTCATTGGGGACATTCTGACATGCATTTGGGTCTAACAGGTTCTCAGTGGGTATGCTGGGCTTCGTTCTGGAAAGCCCACCAGATGGTCAAGATGTTTCCTCTGCGTCTCCATCCTCCTACGCTTCAGAGGAAGGGACCGGGAGGGATGAGGAGTGGATCCCCCCCACCCCGGCTGTTACTATGGCAACTCCAACTGCTTCTCAGAGAGCCAGGTTTGCTGGGCTGTTAGTTACTCCTGCCTAGAATTCCTGATGCTCAGCGCCAAACAAACTCCCAGCCACTCTGTGGCTATAGGGCAGTTGCATTTCAAGAACTCACACACTTTGAAGATCTCCTTTGGAGGGGGTGACTCATTCCTGCCCACTTTGAGAGTGAGGGGTTTGCAGCAAACAGCAGCTCAGGATAGAGTCTGAGCCCTCTGCAGCCCGCAGATGAGGCTGAGGGGACAACAGGGGCAAGGTAGGTGAGAACCCTTGCCCTTAGTGACCTTAGAGTCCAGTCCGCACACACACACACACACACACACACACACACACACACACACACACAGAGCGGTATAGGCAGGCAGTGTCAGCATCGTCTCGTGGTCAGGAAAAGAAGCCTGCAGACTGGGGATAGGATGGCTGCTAACCACAGTGTGTATGTGGCAAATCTAGCCTTCTGGCAGGGGTTCAGGATCTGTCCACACATAGAGCTCCCCAACACATTCCTGGGTTCAGAGATGTTGGAGATCACCCCATGCCCAGGGTGAGAGCTGTCTGGAGCACCAGGGCTATGGGCTTCTCAGGAGAACAAAGGTACAGAGGTGCATGAGAGTCACACAGCCCAGCGACAGTGGGGGAGGGTGGGGGAGGGGGCCTGTTCTTCCTCGGGGCAAGCTCAGTCCTCGCTGGGACTGGTGGCTCGGCTGACAGGGCCTTGGTGCAGTTTCCAGCCTGTGCATCCTGACTGCTTTGGGTGGCCATCAGCAGGGCCTCTAAGATTTGGGTGATGAGGGGCTCCCTTGATGGGTCCCCAAGCTGCCAGGCCGTTTCCTGCCTTGTCTTCCCTTCCTTCCTCCCTTTCCCAGTGGTCCCTGGCGGATGTTTTGTGTCACACTTTCATTACCGGTGATTCATGGCCTGATTGTTGAAAGAACTTCCTTAGATAAGGGCAGAAGAGAACCAGAGAAACTCATGTTCACAGTAGAGTGACATCTTTCAACCCACTGCCCTCAATGCAGCACTTCGCCTGTCCCCCATCCGAGGCCCCTGACCCCCCCCGGTGGGGACCATCATCCTGGGCACTGGTTTTCTCTTGCTGGAGAGAGGGTGAGGTGTAGCCCAGTGATAGGGCCCTGCGTTTCAATTCCCAGCACCAGAAAATCAAAATCAAGAGTCCCAGAGCATGCATGGTGCTGGTCCGAAGCCTGTCACCAGAGTTTGCTGTGTGACATTATTGAAAGGAGTCTCAAGTCATCCACAGTCACTGGGACTTCGCTCCCTTGGTGTTGCGTTAAGAGCCATCCTGGTTCCAGTGACACTGGCCTACTGGGTCACAGCTCACACATGCACTGTCTATGCATGTGGGTTTGTGCTGCCAGGGCTTGTGCACCTGTGCCCTATGTGCGTGCGTGCGTGTGTGTGTGTGTGTACGTGTGTGTGTGTGTGTGTGTGTGTGTGTGGCTGTTGTGAAGATGTTCCCCAGGCTGTGAGTATCCTTGAGTGAACCTGCAGACCAGAATGCAAAACACACATAGCCAGCAACATCCCAGCCAAACTGTCCCCAAGGCAGTTGCTGCAGGTCGCCTCGCCGGCAATCCCACGGGCACCAGCGTTACTGGCACAGTGTTGAGAAGCTGGCATCTGGTCTTCCAGCCCAGGTCGGAGTCCCTGAAATTTGCATATTTGGTGGGGGCTCCGTGCTTGTGACAATTAGACCACACAAGGCCACCTTCCCAGGTGCCGAGGCACAAATATTGGAACCGGCCCCTGAGCTCCCTCCCAACGCGGGCTCACGCTCGGCCTCCCCTTCCTTCCCCAAGACTCAGGGCCTTGGGGTCATCAGGGAGCGGGGCCCTTCCCTTTTCTCTTCCCTTTGTTCCTCCTTCTCCTCTCAGTGGCTTTGATTCCGCCTGCTGTCCACAAAACTAAGGCACGTATTTTTTTTTCACATAAAGATAAATTAAGCGGGGCTTCCCGGAAACTGCTCTGCGAACTGTGACATACTACATGCAGACATGTTACGTGTGAACATACTCCATGCACAGACCAGAACGTTAGTGTTGGCAGTCTGTTCACACTGTGCGGCTATTCTGAACGCAGAAGTGGCTGTGCCTTTGTCCTTGGTAGCTCATGCTGCTGCTTGATCTGTAGGGTTGTCACCCATGCAGCTCCCATGGTATAAGCGGGTCTCTTGGTCACTTGGGTCTGCTGGGTGACCCTCAGGAAGACTTTCCTCAAGCTGGGAGGCCCCACTGTGCTACCGATTCATCTCTCAGAGTACCAGTAAACCTCATCCTCAGCAAGGCCTCCCAGGCTGTCCCCCATCTGCCTGGACATGTTATGACTCTGTGTGGTCCCTGCTGCATTTTCTAAGATTTCAAAAACTCTTTTCCACCTTGTTTTAAGGCCTTGGGGTCAGGGGTGACAGCAGGACATGTGTTTAGTGCATGTAGACCCTAGGTTCAACCTCTGCCCCTAAAAAACAGCCAAAGGGGGCCTTCCACAAAGTCATTCCAGAGTGCAGGGTGGGGGGAATACAAGGAGGAAAAGGGAAAAATTCAAGGAGACTAGTGCAGAGACTCGTCCCCTTGCATTTATTTTGCATTTGTTTTTCTTTCTTTCTTTCTTTTTCATTTCAAACAACCGGTGTACTTGGGTTACTTTTAAATCTTCACTTCTGGGAGCACACACTCGCAGTGTGTGATGCTCACTCTGGTGGCGGGGAGTTGATGTGTGGACCCAGCACAGCTCCAGCCCGCCTCCCTTTCCCTCCCTCCCCTCCCTCATCTCTCTCTCTCTCATCTCCCCTCCCTACCCTTCCTCTCCCTCATCTCTTGGTTCGCTTTCCTTTTGCAAAAGCCCCAGCTCCCTGTTTCCCGTCACATGTCTTTTATTTTGGTCTTTATGTATTTATACTTGGGGTGTGGGTCGGAGAGCCCTCTGGGCCTGGGCCAGCCTCCTGGAGCAGGTCCTCAGTGCTGCTGCGGACTGTGACTAACAGGAGAGGAAGCGGAAGAGGATGGGGTCCCGGGCATGTTTACCAGGGAGACAACAACACCCCCAGTCCTGGCTTCCCGCCTCCTCCCCCGAGAGCCTGCTTGGGTGGGTGCCAGGCTCCTCTGCATATGTGGGAACGCAGCTGGTGCTTTCTGGCAGCTGTGGCCGGTGATGGGTGACACTGTGACGCCCCTTCCTGGGGCAGGCGATGTTGCCCATGGGCCAGGACGCTTCTGGAAGGTGGACTTCCTCTGTTGAAATAACATTTACTCTTGTTTTTCTGATTAGGAAGGAGTACATCCTCTTGGTAGGAAACGTGGAAATTAAAGAACAGGACATTAAAAGAAGGAAATAAACACTGGAGATCACCCTGAAGTGCAAGGCTGCAGCTGTGTGCATGTGGCTCTTGTGTATGCTCGTGCACACGTGAGAGCAGCAGCAGCCAGGGCAGGGGCTGCAGGCTGGTCACCTCCACTCCTTGCATCCCTTTGCATGGCTGTGCCCTACCCCGCTCCTTCCTGGGTGAGCACAGGAGCCTGGGGTAATTCCATGTCCCTGTGTCACACTTACAAACCTACCTCCATGCTCGTTCCTGAGCCCTGAGCTGAGATCAGCCGCCCACCTGGTGCTTAGGGTCCATCCCAGAGAGCCAGCTCTTTATCTCCCAGGCAGGATCCCGCTCACCTCAGCCTTCCTGACTATGGGTCTGAGCCCAAACGGTAGCTCTGCTCAGCCAGCCCTCCCCTTGCTGCCCCCCCCCCCAGAAGTCCAGGCCATGGCCAGACACAACCAAAGGGCCCTACAGAGAGCTCTCCAGCGACCAGAAACACCCCCCACCCTTCTCACCCCCCCCCCCCACCCCCGTGAGACTGAGGTGCTGGGAGCTCAGCCTTTCCTGCAGCGCTGCCCAGGGAGAGGATGCGCTCACAGCAGGAAGTGCCTTGCACTGTTGCCTCCTCCACTCGCCAGGGTGCACAGCCCAGAGGACATTCAGAGGCTTAGGATGAGAGCTGGCTGAGAGCTCCAGGACGCAGCTGGACGCGTCAGCCTATCACACAGTCACTGGCTGCGTGGATGGATCGACAGGAAGACGGGTGGATGGAGCAGTGGGTGTGGGGGAGCATGACAGGCAGATGGGCAGGCAGATAACAGAGTGAACACCCCCTCTGGGGACTTTCTCCTTCCCCTTTTGACTTTTGTCTCCTCCGTAGGCATTGGGTACTGAGAGAGCTCTTGTCGCTTCTCTATCTCCTCGCTATACCAGTCATAAAGACACCCTTGGTAAACTCTTCTTTAACTGTTTTCATCTGGCAGTGCTGTTTCCTGATCAGCACTGAGAGAGAGAGAGAGAAAGAGAGAGAGAGAGAGAGAGAGAGTCCTATATAAATATAGAGATGGATGGTAGACACAGATTAGAGATGAGAAGATAAATACATATAGAAGTAGATAGCTACAGATAGATACAGAGATATAGTCACAGAGATAATTAGAGACACACAGATAGACATGAAGATAAAAAGATATTTACAGAGATAGTCACAGAGACACACAGAGGTAAAGGTAGGCAGAGATAGGTACAGGGATGGAAAGACAGACAATGCAACCTTTCACGCACCAAGCTGAGACTCACTTTGTAGGTTATGACCCCGAGTGAGTTCTTTAACCATATTGTCCTACAGCTGTCATCTGTGAGGATATTAATAGCACTAATGTTAATAAATAATGCCTACTTCATAACCGTCTAAGGAGCAATGAATGAAAAGCTGCATACAAAGAAAGTAAAACCATTCTCACAGTCAAGAAATACTTTTACTATTAGCATGCCTGTTTTTTTCTCAAAATGCCATTACATTTTCATATTAAAACATTTTCAAATGCATGTTGTATAATGGCGGGAAAAGTTTTTTGAACTGTACCATAATTTATTTAACCATATTAGTTTCTGGAGATGCAGGTTGTTTGTAATTTTTCTCTGGCTAGGCAACATGAACCTCTCTCATTGCTTGGCTGTTTCCCTAGGATAGAGTCTCAGTTATGGTTTGTATTTGAGGTCCCCCTAAAACTGAGTATGCTCATAGATGGGGCTTTGGGGAGTGATTGGATCACAGGATGTGACACTCATTGGTGGATGCAGCCCCTAGTGAATTTATAGCTGAATGTGATGATGGGAAGTGAAGCCTGATTGGAGGAGATGGTCACCGGGGGCGTGGCCTGGGAGAGTCTGCCTCTCTCCTCCTCCCTTGATCTCTCTGCTTCCTGTCCACCATGCCATGAGCAAGTCTCCCCTGCCTGCCACCCTGCCTTGGAGCTATCTGAAACTACACTGAAATCTTTACAAACTGTGAGCTAAAATGAACCTTTCCTACTTTAAGTTGTGAGTGTCAGCTATTGTATCTCAGCATGGAGAAAGTAACTAAAAAACCTGCCACTTTGCTCCCCACATCAAATTGTAAGCAATTATAACCAGCTCACCACTCTGATGATAATTCATGGTATTCTTGCTCAAACCCATGTATCCCTATTCAAGAAAAATTTATTAGGTAAACACAATATTCAGCTGTTTCTGTCTGCACTTATTGGGTGACTAGAGAAGTTAAGTACTGTACTTTTGCACAAGGTTTGGTCGTGGATATCTCATGTGTACACAGATTATCACCAGACTATTTTCTACTTGGAACTAGAAATGTTTCAGATTTTGGAATACTTGCAAGGATATAATAAGATATCTTGGGGAAAGGTGAGGCCTAAATCTAAGTTTGAAATTCACTTCTGTTTCATATGCAATTAATGCACATAACTTGAAGGTAATTTTGCCCAACAGTTTAATTTTGTGCTTGAAACAAAATTTTATTGTGGGAAATTTTCTGCTCATGGCATCTTATCAGTGCTTAAAATGTTTCAGATTTCAGACATTTTGGAATCTGAATTTTCAGATTAGACATGTTCAACCTGAATTTGTCTTTTTCTTATTGATTAGTAAGCTCTACCATGACTTTCTATAAACTTCATTATATTTTTGCAAGTAATTATCTCAGGGTTTTTTTTTTCCATATTAACTGTAACATACCTGATCATGAATAAAATTATAGGATAATCTTAGGCTAGGGTTATGTGATCTAATGTACAGATTTTTATGTTGCCAGGAAAGCCTGAAGTTTATTTCTGCATCTCCTTTCAAAATACCACATCATTTCCCAGGATGTCATATCTGAACCCATGGCATGAGTTCCAATGTTCATTTGCTTGTTGGTTTTTGTACTAGGGATTGAACTCGTGACCTTCCATTTTTCAGGGAGGGGCTTGAGCCATAGAACTAAATCCCCAGCCATCCAATAATTTCCTTAGGCACCTCCTGTTCATATCTTGGTTTTATTTTGTAACTAGACAGGAAGATGTGGAGTGATTTTCTTAAGATGATTTATTGATTTTTCATTCTCCATTTACTGACTTTAGTCTCCATTGGCTGACTTTAGCTCTGGCCTTTGCTATTTATTTTTCTTCTGTACATCTTGTACCCCCCTCCTCCACCTGAAGAGCCCCTTGATTTGCACACATGGCTGCAGGGTTGCACTGTGCCCAGGCTTATATTGTCTTCCGGCAGGAAGACTCTGACCAAAGAGTCCGTTAAATCCTACTTTTTGGAGCCAGTACAAATGGAAGAAGATTTTGGAAAACCAAGAGGAAGTGCACAGCATGGCTGCACAGGCCAGGGGCAGAGGTGATTTTGGGGCAGCTCCAGCAGGGAAAGCTTCTGGTCCCTCTGGCAGTTCCACCACCCCCGGGGTGCCCTGTGCTCACAGGCCTGCCCGTAGGCCACACTCGCCTTGGCTTCCTCCAATAAGCGAACTAGAAAAGATTTTAAGGGATCACAAGCAGAATAGCTATCCCCTGCACCAAGCTGCAGATTGGTGAATCAGAAGTAACCAGGGTGCTTAGTTTCCAAGCATTCACCAACAGAAGCTTGAAACAGAAAGTTAGGTAAAGAAATGAATAACAGAAAGTCAAAATCATTCCCCCATCACAAAAAGGGGGAAGTGGTGCACTTGTAGCACCTCACAGGATAGCCTATAGGGTGGCTATCAACCACCCCCCATTTCCAGGGAATTTTAATAACCAGAGGAGATGGCCATGGTGAGATGGTGCAGTGGGTGGGGGAGTAGCATACAAAACATCAGCTGTGCTAACTGTGGGGTGCTGGTGACCTCACAGAACTCACGCACATCGTGCAGCTTTGATCAACAGCCGGGAGGCAGCCATGGGCCAGAGGGAGAACCAAGAAGCCAACCCGCTCCTGTGCGCCAGCCGGTGCCCAGGCTGGGAGACAAGAAGGGCCCCTCCCCCACCCCGTAGGCAACCAGCGGATCCGTAGGAACACAGGCGGAGAAGACAGCTGCTGAGGCAAAAGAACTACTTCATGCTGGTAGTGTTTGACTGACTTCGCAGGCCTAGAGCCGGTGGTCTCGGCATCCATTGAGGGGATAACAGTATGCAATACAGCAACTGCAAGGATTTCCTTCTGTCTTGTTTTTGAAACCCAGTATTTTTCTCCCTGTTTTGTTTGGTTCCATTTTATTGCTTTCTTTTATTCTCTTTAAAATTAAAGAAAAGAAAAACAACTGGGACAAATGACACTGAAGTGTGTGTGCTTCAGTTTGGTGCTGGGGACAGAACCAGGGCCTCCTGCCTGCTGAGTGCAGGCTCCACCACCAAGCCGTGCCCCAGCCTGGCACTGGGATGTTTAGGTTTTATTGTTATTGGTACATGTTTGCAGCACTTACTGGTTACATCGCTCATGGGGAGCTGGCACTTGCACACAGCCCATCTCTTCAGTCTTTCTGCATCCCTTTCCCCTCCCTTGCCCACTCCCTGCCTTCTTCTCTTGGATCGTTTTTGCAAAAGATCTGTCTCCCTGTCAGCTATCATCCTTTACTTTACTCTTTCATTGATTTGAACTTTGGATTTCTTGGATAGAGAAATTATGCAATATTTAAGCTTGCGTGTCTGGTTCATTTCACTTACCATTATTATCTCAAGAAGCGTCTATCTGCCTATGAATTCCTCAGTCTTCCTTGTTTCTGGCAGAGAAATGCTCCACTGCATACAAATAGACATATACAGAGGTACCTTGGTTTACAAACTTAACTACTTTCAGGATTTGGGGAAGGATGTCTGCATCTATGTTTGTGTGAAGAACATGGCCACAGTTGTGTTTGTCACCCAACATGGAGTTTGCAAACAGGAGCGATATTTTGCCAAACACTTTCATTTGGAAACCAAATTATTTGCAAAGAGAAGCATTCGTGAGCTGTGGTTATGAGCTGCACTCCTATATACGTGGATATGTGTAGTCCCTGTGACATGATACCTTTAATTCTTTGGGGAAGATGCCCAGAAAGGAAATAGCTGGGTCCAGTGGAAATTCCAGTTATTGTTTTCTGAGGACTCTTCACACTGGCTTCTACAGGGGTGTACCAGTTCACATTCCCACCAAAAAGGAGGAGGCCTCCTTTCTCAGCACCGGGATTTAAACACTTTTCTCTGAACACTGCGTTCTTTTTTCCAAATCTATTTGGTTTGGTTCCCCACCCCCAAAATCTCACTTATATTTATTTTCTTTATAATTGGAAAAGAGAAAGTGATCTGGAATATTCTAAGAGTAAATAGGGTGTTGGTCCGGATCCCTGCCCTAACTCTGGCTTCTGTCCACAGCTCGTGCACCTGGCCTTCCCTGATCTCGGCACCCGCAGGCTGGGGACCAGAGGCAGCGCCAGGTAAGGTCACATCTTCATCTCCTTTGCGATGGTGAACACAAGGGTTCCGGGAACTGCAAACTCTAAGGCACAGCTCTGACCAAATGCCCGTAGCTCAGATTAAAGCCTGTGTCTGGAAGCACTCAGGCGACAGAGAACAGAAGGCAAAAGTCACTGTGTACATGTGTTATTTCTGTGTCCACACTTTAAATCTTTAGACAAGTAAATGTCTATGGAAATATTTGGGTAGTTATCCCCATGAAATAATGAATGCTCTTAATTTCCTTTGAACTAAAATTTCTTGTTTCTTTGCAGAATTTTGAAATGTTTTCCTTTTATTATTAGTGCCTGTGAATCACAAAATACTAGGTTTCGATGTGTGAAATACGTCTTGATCACATCCACCTGCCCTCCTTCCCTTCTTCCATCTAATAATAGCCCTCTACTTCCGAGTCGTCTTTTTGGTCCACATATCAGGGAAAATATGCAGTATTTGTCTTCCTGAATCTGACTTACTTCACTCAACACAGTGATCTCCAGTTTTATCCATTTTCTTGCAAATGACAAAACTGCATGATTTTTAATGGCTGAATAATACTACATTGTAAAAATAAAATAGTGCAGAGTGCACCACGCACTGTCTGTCACCTGTCCGCAAGCAGCACCTGTGAGCTGTGCTGCCATCAACACAGGTGTGCAGGTTTCCCCAGGACCGACACCAACGGAACTAAGTCGGAGTCCTCCGGAGCCCGGAGTGAGGCCCACCTCCTTAATCAGAATCTCAGAAAGGAAATTCTCACATTAGCAGGGGCATTGTTACCGCCACTGTCACACAGCCATTACAGTCACTTGCCCATTGGTTAATGGAGGTGAGAAAAGGGTTGGAAGCCAAGTTAGAAAGGTCGCTTCTTCCCCCTCCTCTGCCAGCCGCGAAGCAGGAGGAGACAGTGGCAGAGCTGTCTCAGCAGGAGAGAGCGGTGCTTAGGCACTTGGGCCACAGGGAAGCATAGCTCAGGCACCTAAATGAGCCTGCAGCACAGCGGTGCTGCCACCGGCTGCTTCCTCTGAACCCACCGCAAGTGGGAAGGTGGCAGGTGCACTTAATAACTTAACCCAGGGACCTCAGATGAGCTGTGTCCCCTCCCCGACCAGCCCTCCTCCTATCACTCCCCACCACCACCCCGGAAGGAAAGGTCCGCATTCAAACTTCACAGTTCAGTTTCCACCAGATGGGAATGGCTTTCCCGCCTTTACCCAGTTAAACCTCCTCACCCGAACTCTTGCAAGCCCCTGATTGTCTGTGATAGGAACTTGCTGGTCCACTAACCGAGCCGGCTCAGCCCAGGACTGGTTAGCTTTTCTGAATGAATGGAATCAGAGGTGAAGTCCAGAGATGGACTCTGGGGCCTTCATCTGCCACTCGCTCTGTGGGAGACGTGATTTTAAAGCCGACTTTGTTCTCAGGTATCATTATGACGGGATCTACATCAAGAAGAGTTCTTTCTTCTACTCTCAGTATTGCTGCCTCCTGGGTGAGAAGAGAAGCCTCAGGTGGGTGTCCGCCTCGGCTCCTCGGCCGAGGACAGAAGGGCCAGAACCGGCAGCATCTCAGCTGTTCCGCCCTTCGGTCCTCCTCAGGGTGGGGACACGCGGCACATCAAGACACCTCTGGTCAACAGAACTTTGTCAATCTCAGACCATGTTATTGGCCAGAGAAACCCCTTCTGTTTTCATTTCCATGGGCACTCTTCCCCTGGGTTATCACCCTCATGGCCAAAGCCATTTTTGCTGAGACTTCTCTCTTCTCTGCCTTTCTGCATAATTTGACATAATTGGCTGCCTCTTTCTGGAAGCTTCCTTTTACCCTCAGGACTCGGGCCCTCCCCTCTCCACCTTCCCCCTCCGCCCTCTCCAGTGACTTTGCTGTCCCTGACATGGGAGAGCAGCATTTCCAAAGATCTGCTCTCCCTCCTGCTGGGCTCTCTCACCCATCACCTCCCTCTTAAATTGGCCTTCACTGACTCTGACCCCGCCCACCTCCTAGCAACTCATCTCTGGCGGTTTACTGGACGTTTCCGTTTGCAGAACCACAAAAGCCTTGAACTCAGTTGTGGGCATCTAAACTTAGCAGCTCCTCCCAAGTTTCCTCAGCGCCTGGCTTCCTTATTTCAATCTGTGGCACCAACAGAGAGAGTCTATACAGCGTACCACAGCCACCCCAACTCTCCTGGGTCATAAAAGCCTGTTCATTCTCTCTTTCCTGTTCCCTTGGCTTATGCTATTAGGTCACTGGTCTTTCTTTCGAGCCCTTGTCACCCTAGACTGAGGTTATAGGTGACCCTCCACACAGAGGGCCCCACAGGATTCACCTAAACTCCCATCATGTGCTGTGTCCTTCAAGGGTGGCATCTGTGCTAAATATGCAGCCCTCTCGTGGCCATGATTCCCTGAGTAACACAGTGGAACAACTATGCTCGGGGCTCGTACATTGTGTGAAGTATTCTGAGTCGTCTAGAGTTGATCTCAGGTGCAGGGAGGAAGTGTGTGACCTACGCCGTTTGGTACAAGGCACTGCACGCCTGTGGGTTTTGGTGCCCGTGGGTCCTAGAGCCAGCTCTGTGGATACCAAGGCGACTGTGGTTCTGTGGCTCCGCGATGGCCCCCGTCCTCAGCTGCTGCCATGACCCAGCCTCTGGTCAGTCTTCCTAAACTTCTGCCCGTGCTCTGCGCCTGCCTGCTCCTGCACGCACGGGTGTCCTTCCAGCTCGCAGTTACCCTGCCAGGCTGAGGTGGGCAGCTTGGTGCCTTCCTGCTGTTTCCCAGCCATGTGGACCTTTCCCCTGCCAATTTAAACCAGAATTATAGCCAAATTCTGTTTCCTGAACATTTCCACAATGGCTGTCCCTCAGCTCCTGCCACCCATCCTCCCCAGGTCACTCCTTCTGTCCCTTCCTGGTGTCTCTCAAGGCCTTTCTCAAGTGAAACCATCCCAACAAAACCTGCCCCAAACGGGTCTCCTTCCTCCGCTTCCCCTTCTTGTTCACCACCTGCCCTTCCACCCAGCACTGCTGCTGAACTCACAAACCAGCCCTGGGCCTCATTTGGCATCAGTAGACGACTGACTGTCCAGGTCAGCAAGGACACTTCAGTTCCACTTTTAGCCCAGCATAATCATTAGGAGTGCCCCCCCTTTCTCTTGAATTGAGTTGGGCAATAAATTATAGCAGACTCTATGGTTACCCTTTGCCTGAGGTCCTCAGAAGTCTCCAGGATGGCCACACACAGATGGCTGAGGTGAGGAGCTAACTATGCATTCAGTCTGACGCCGAATGTGACGGAAGTGTCAGAAGTGTTCTGAGCCCCCAGGAGGGACAGCCTGCATTCAGGGCAAGGAACTGTGAAAGGCCTATGGGTGAGTGAAGTTTTCAGCCGAAGGACACATCAGAGTTCTAAGCAGAAAAGATGAGAGAGGCAAGAGGACACCCAGGCTCAGGTAGGAAGAGAAGAGAAGAAGAACTGTGAACACCTGGATGTCTTCCTGCATAGAAGTGTGTGGAGCTATGGCCAAGCACAAACCTAGAGGAAAATTCAGAGGTCCAAGACCTCCAGGCTGGGACAGGGTTCTCATAAGCCCTGCAGAGGCTTCCTTGGAAAAGCGGGTAGAATCATCACTGAAGCCTCCCCAAACACAGAGGCTTCCTGGAGCTGCCTGTGCCTTCCATCTCCTCTACATGTGGACTCACAGCCTTTGTCCTTTTGCCCTTCCACTTTCTGCCATGGAAGATCTAGCAACAAGGTGCCACTTAGAAACAGAGAGAGCACCTGCACCAGGCACTGAATTGGCTGGAGCTTCCATCGTGGACTTCCTGACCTCCAGAACTGTGAAACGTGAATTTTTTCTGTTTGCAAATCACTTAATTGAAAGGACACGTGAAGGGGTGTCCCCGTCAGAGTGACTGGTGAAGAATTGGGAACTGGAAATCGGGGTTTAAAGGACAGATCAGAAGAGAGGGGGGATGGGCCCAGGCTCCTTCCAACACCCAAAAGAGCTCCAGGCCACAACAGAGGAGGGTCAGGGAGGCCTCAGGACGGGGAAGCTGACTGAGTCAGCATCCATGGAAGGGAACAGAGGTGACTCAGCCACGCCTGTCCCCTCAAAACCTCAGATGCAACCTCGAATCAAGTCATGGTGTTCTACTTCAAACCACCTCTTCCTCTTCCCTCTCTTATTCATAGCTTAGTCACGGAGGAAAAGATTACATCCACCGAAACAGAGAAGTTCAGGAAGCGAGCAGCTGCAATGAAAGCTCCCTTTCAGTTACGGTAGATTTCTTAGCATGAAAGAGGCCTTGTGTCCCCCATCCCCTGCCCCACTGTACTGTCCTGAAGGCTCAGCTGAGGTCCTTCGGCCTTTGTTTACCCCAGAGCACCTGGAAGCCAGTCAATCAACAGACACTAACCAGCGCACTCTGCAGAGTGTCCCAAGGGTGCCCCAGGGCTCTGGATTGTCTCAGATGTCACAGAGATGGAGCTAGAGCTGGTCTTCAAGGGCAAACAGGAACAGGCATTGCCCTCGGGGAGCAGGAAGGCACTGCAGGCGGCCAAGACAAGAACGAGAGTGACTGTGTATGCATTTGGTGGACTCCTTGGGCAAAACATGACTCAGCTGGAAATCAGGACCAATATAATTCAAAAAAAATTTGTCAGTTAAAAATCACAAATTGAAGTCAGGCACGGTAGTGCACAACTATAATTCCAGCTATTGGGGAGGCTGAGACAGGAGGGCTGCAAGTCTAGCCTGAAGAACCTAGTGAGAACCTGTCTCAAAAAGGAAAAATAAAAGAGCTCAGTGGTGGAGCACCTCTGAGTTCACTCCCAGTCCATGGCACACACACATAAAATAATTGACACTAATTTGTTTCCTGAGACAGGTGCCCTGCAAGCACTGTTACCCACTCCATGTTCGACAAATATTTAGTAATCAGTGAACTTTAAAATGCTGGACAAACAAGAGATTTTTTTAAAAGCATGAAGATTTAAGAGTAAGCTTCTTTTTTGTTTTGTTTTATTTTGTTTTATTGAGACAGCTCTCACTATGTAGCCCAGGCTGGCCTTGAACTCACAGCAATCCTCCTGCCTCGGCCTCTGGAGTGCTGGGATCATAGGCATGAGCCACCATTCCTGGCCTAAGAGTAAGTTTCTTACCAACACCACAGTTCAAGAAATACTACACTTACATTTTAGAAAGCAAAGCTGTGGAACAAGGCACACTGTCTTTGAGCTATCCTGGTGGAAATGTGGTCTGTTTTATTAAATAGCTCTTCTGTGAAGACCTGTGACACAAATGCCACTTTAAGGTTTCCAAATAAAAATGTCTGTCTGGATGGCTGTCAGGTTCCAGAAGCCAGAACTCATCCTCTGTTCACGTCTTTGTCTGTGCATCTGATTGTGTCCCCACTGGGGTAAACCAGGCCTGCTCCAGCTACTGTGGCCAGCAGTGCGCAGGATAACAAGGCCTCTCCTCTGGCTGAGCTGTAGGTATCATAAAGACTGTAAAAACTGGAGCAAGATGGGATTCCAAGAGAAGAGGAGGGCGGGGTGGAGAGGGCTCCCTTCCAGCAATGTCATTTGAGAGTAAATGTGAATAAAGTTCTCCAGCAAGGAAAGAGCTAGAGGTGGTGTTTCAGGCAGGCAAGGCAAAGAGCAGGTACAAAGGTCCAGGGGCAGGAATGAGTGTAGAGAACAGTGTGACAGTGTAGGGTGGAGCTTGGTGGACAAGTGAGGGAGTGGGAGAAGACCCCCCAGCTGGAAGATGAGGTGGTGGGGACAGAGAGACCAGGTAGGAGTTTCTTGCAGCAGCCCCGGTGAAGATGGGCCTTTGGATTTGTTACTGAAATACTCTACTCCTCCCAGCAAGGCAGTAACAGCTGCAAGTGAAGACCGCATGTTCCTTCCCAGGACTGCAGAGAAAAGGAAGGGGCAGGAGTGGGCCTGGGTGGGTGGGCTGGCTCTGCCACAAGGAAGCCGTGTGACCTGGGCCACGCCACTTGTCCTCCCTGCCTCAGCTCCCCACCCGTCACACAGACATCTCCACAGCGTCTAGTTCTTGGAGCTATTGTGAAGACTAAATGAATTAATACAAGCAAAATCCCAGAAAAATGCCACAGAGTAAGCTCTTGTTTTAAAGACAGGGTCTCGCTATGCAGTCCAGGCTGACCTTGATCTTACCACGTAGCCTAGGCTGGCCTCCAGCTCATAGCAGCCCTCCTGCCTCAGCCTCTCGAGTGCTGGAATTACAGATGTAATTCATCGCTGAGTGATGGTTCATGGCGTTGGAGTATGATTCTAGCTATGTAATTGCCCCTTGGCTCTTTCATGTAACTTTTCTTTCTTTCTCTCTTCCCCTCTGCTTGGAGAGAATTTATAATTCCTTACTGGTGCATTTGAGAATGACTGCTTGAGAGTCCTTGTCCGGGAATCCCAGCATCCGCTTGCACTCACACAGCCCTTGGCCTCTCTCAGATCGTGGCTCAATGTTGAGACTCCTGACA